GGCGGGAGGGGGGTGGGGGGCGGGGACAAAGACTGTGCGTCCCAGCCAGAACGTGCCCAGAAGAGCTGAAAAGTCCTAAACAAATGCTGTCTTTGCATACTGAGACAATCAATCCCAGAATTCCCAGGCAGCAAGGAAGCTGTAATCCCAACCCTTGGAAGCCAGCAGATTGGGGACCCCCAAGTTAGAAACTGCACCTTGGTGAAGAAGGTGGGCCTTAAGACTGCCCACTCTCAGAACGTACCGTAGAGGCTGCTGGCATTCTACCAGACATCAGCTGGTAAACTGTCTGCAGCGGATCATTTATCGGGAGACTGTTGGCGAATCTAGAAAGAAAAGAGCATGAGGAATAGCTATAAACATTCTGAGGAGGAAAACTGCATCGCTTCCCCTTTAGAGAGATCACGCAATTGTCCCGTAACATCCCAAAGCCAGTAAACAGATTGTTGCACCGGCCTCCTGACCAAACAGGACAAAAGGGGCTTCTGTACTTTGGTCCCATCTCCTGATTCAGAGGCACAAAGAGGTATCTCCTACCTGGTCATCACTCTGGCGTGCGTCCTGCTATCCATTTTGCTGGCCAGCAACAAGGCGTGGCCCCAAAGCCCGTGCTTCATGGCTGATTCCAGAGCATCCTATTGGAAAAGAATCCAGAGAACCAGTTAAGCTGGATATAAAACTTTTTTTTTCTTCTTGCATCCCTACTTCTCTCCTTAGCAAGAGCCAACATACACCAAGGAAGAAAGCCCAAGGAAACGAACCTTTTTGCGACCATAAAGCAGCAGCTCTCGGAAGCGTTCGGTCTCCTTCTCGAGGCTGTCGATGGTGGCAATGAGACTGTCTGTCAGGAAAGACAGCTGGGCTTCCCCAGACTCTTCCGCCACCTGCTCCACAGCCTCGTTGGTGAAGTCGATCAAGTTGGCTTCGTTGGGCGACTTCCCAGGCAGCCACACCGTCTTATGGTCCTGCAGCAGAAGCTCAGCAATATCCGTGCCCACCACTGTCTACAAATAAAAGGGAGGCTCTTAAAAACAGGGCGAGGGTATCAAAACTACAAGTGAAAGAGGTGCAAACAGCCTGTACGGCCCCCTCCTAAAGTATCTCGTTGCTCTCTCCCTAGATGGCGGGCGGGGGGTTGGGGGGAGGAGATTTAGGGAGGGCCTGCTTTGGCCCTGCAACCCCACCGGGCGCCAAACCAGGAAGCGGTGGCTCATTGGCATGGCTTCTACCGCAGTCATCCAGTGGGAGTTTAGTTTTAGGATGGAAACTCCATCCCCACTAAAGACTAAGTCCAGGTGCTACCCTGAGTAGTGGAAAGAGACGACATACGCCTGTCATCAACAACAACAACAGTAAAAGAAGAGGGTTAATATACAGGGTTTCCAGCCTACAGGATTGTTCTGCTCAATCAGCAACTTGCTAAACATAAAAAGAAGTCCAGGACATTTTAGCCCCAACCCTGTGCTGCCCCACATAATTGAGAAGAAACACAGAGCTGCAGAAAACACCTTGTGTTCAAAGTGACTCATGCTAACAAAACTCTGGGGCAGAAGGCAAGGGATGATTCAAAGCTTTTTGGCAACACAACAATGAAGCCAAAGGCATCTCCTTTTCTTCCCCAAACCTCCCCAGAGCAAAGCTCCCATTCACTTCAGCGGGACTCTTCCTGAAAATGCCCCAGTGAACTGCGCCCCTCCTTCAAGCTACTCTGACGAGCAATATACTAATATTAGGAGCAAGATTATTTTCTTGAAAATAGAAGATGAACCAGTGAATATCAGGTCTGGCTGCTGAGACATCTAGTTCAAAGTGCGCACACGGAGTCATTTCTAGCCCAGTGAGATGCTGGAGGCCACAGGCAAAATTTGCCCAGTCTTTTTCTATCCCTCTGTCCCTTCTCAGTTGCACAAACCAGCTTGAGGAGGTGAGAAGAACTGTTCATAATCAACAAGGGATGAATTTACTGCAGATTGGCTGTGGAAAATGAGTTCTTGACCATAAGCCTTTTATTTTGGGTTCATAAAGTTAGCTGCTTAGAAGATCACCCAGAAGGCTATTAGCTTACAGGCCAAACAACATTCAGACATTGGCCAAGGCAGAGTGTACAACCAGGCTCAGGATAAATAATGAATTAATTAAATAAGCATGGATTAATTAAATCACATCAATTAAACACATCAGCACGATTATTCTCCCATTTTCCTTACTGGCAAATTAAAAACATTAAGATTGGTGGCATTTTTTGGAGATGCTCAGGGGAGACCCCCAGGGCTTCTATGTAAGGCTCATCTAAGGCACTAAACTCCTCTAAACATCCTCTGTTGAGGCTCATGTTGCTAAATCCAGCCATTGCTCAGCTACTCCTTCTCTTCTGTCAATTTGGAACTGCTAAGCTTTGAGATAACCAGTGTGAAAGTCTGAAAAGTGGGACTGGAGAATTGGTCTACACAAGATTCAGAAGGGAAGAAGGAAGGTCAGAGCACATACCCCATTTTGCCTGCACAGGAGAACAACAAAGTCCCAGAGAAGCCGAGCAGATTCCTTGTCAATCAGGGCGTCGTTCTGAGAGCAGCGGGTGGCTTTGTTCTGGGCAAAATTAATGACATCCACTTTATGGGTATCATCTCTACAAGAGGAAGAGAAGGCCATGTTTAGATGGTTTGGATCACAAGGAGAGATGCAGGCAGCATCTCTCAACACAGCAGCCATACCCCAAGAATGACAGTGAGCTAAGCCTGCAACTCTTGTGTCACGCTAATCCACAAGGTGGCTTGTCTGGCTTGGAAACCCAGCCCCTGCAGTTTGCAAACAATGATGTGACTAGCATTGAGTGAATTAAAACCATTCATGGCTTCGTATGTTTGAATCCAGCCAATAAATGCTTGTCTGGAGGTCGCTTTAATTCTGGTTTATGCTACTTGGGGTGACACTGCTCACAGCACTACTATCTTCCATCAGGGGCTTCCTCCAGTGCACTTGAATGCAACATGCACTTTTCTTTGCAATCTCTGTGCACAAAACATTTGGCTGCCCCTCAGGAGATGTGATTACCCAGTGCTCTCACTTCTTCACTTTCAGTATTAATATTATAATCATTCACCACAGTTGCAATATTGTAAGGACAACCAAAAAGTGTAGATAAGGGAAGACAATGTCCCAAGGATAAAATCAGTTTGGGGTGTCGGAAACAAAAGCTGCCCCACGTTTCTCCTTTCTTTGAATATTACCAAGAGTCAAAGTTGTCATCTGTGAACTGCACTGAATAGGCACACTTTAAAAGCCAGAACATCTTAAAGCCTGGCGAACTTACTTGGTGAGAGGCCCAGGGAAAGCTCTCATCTCCTCTTGCTCTGAAGAGTGTTGCATGATCATCTGTGAGAAGACAAGAATCACAAATAGGGCCTGTGACAATTCCTCCTCCCTGGGCAGGATGCTGTCGTGAAGGTCAACCCTGCAGATCTCACCTTCACGATCCATGAGTCTGATACGGACCACCCTATACTTAATGTCTGAATACAAATGGCAAGTAACTGTGAACTTGAAAACATTCTGTAGAAAGTCAGGAAGACGACCTCGATGAAGATGTGCAGGAACTTTTGCCTGGGCAAAAGAGGCTGAAGCACTTTTTAAGTGCTGAGAAATGAGATAATATTTGGAAGCGGCTCAGGCAGGCCCTCCTTGATTCCCCGAAGTGTAAGAAGGGGAAGAGGTCCACCACAATCAGACTTGCAAGATCTTGTTATTGTAGCCCATCTCAATAAAAATAGTTTTAGCCTTCCTGTGGAGTTGATTTCCTGATTTGGTCTACCTCATGGGGCTAACACATTCCCTGTTCTGGAAGAATAATTCCATTTTAGGGATGTGCAAAACGTTTTGCATGAAAGCTATTCTGAATTCAGAGCCACTGTTTGGAGCGCAAAATGGGCTGCTTCACGCAGTTGGGAAGTGTTTTGTGCTTGAAGCGCTTCAAATGCTCACTGGGGCTGGGGTTATGTGTGCATTCAAAGTCTGTTACTCCAAATTCAAACGGTTTGATTTAAAAACCAAGGCACAGAAGGAGTGAGTCTTGACTTTTTGGAGGGAAGTGGCAATTCCTACTCAATGGAGAGGAACTGAAGGTGCTAAAATCGTGCCCTGTTTTGGCTCTGGCAGCTTTTCAAGTCTGGCAGCAAGAACAATTTGTCTGTTTCAGTGCTTCAAGCGTCGAAAGCACTTGCTCTGGGAAACCTCTTCAGGTGAAACCCAACAGCCTTTACCTTGTGACGACAAAGCCTGAGCTGGAAAAAGCAGCCCACCCTGAGCTTGCCCGTTTTCCCCACTCACCTCCATGCTGTGGATCTCGACCAAGGCTGGCTGGCCTTCGGAGGGCAGGTTGGGTAGCACTTTTATCAGGTAACCCCCAGGCCCAAATTTTGCACACACGTGTGTTACCGAAAATTTCTCAGGGGTCAACGGTCTGGAAGGGACTACAGCCGAGAAAGAAACAGAGAGGCAGAATTTTAAAAAGCAGACAGAAGCATTACCATGCAGTTTTGGTTGGCCTAGTGTTAATCTCCCCAAACTCTGGGACCTAGAAGGACAAGAGAGCAAACTTCGCTACTGGAGCATCAAGCCTTCACCCCCATTCTAGCACAGATTCCCAGCATGTTTACATTTTTGCTTTCACCTCTTGCCGAAGAAACTAAGATTTCACTACAGTTTAGCAAAACTGTTCAAGTGAATTTCTCTTCAAATCCCAAGGAGAAAGAGAGAATTCAGGGGACAATTCCCCTAGAGACGTCATACTGTTAGGGGCACCTGCACGCTGAACCCATAGGAAGCTTTTCAAGAATCAGAGAAAAGCCCTTCCACATTCATCCAATACACCAGGGATACAGTACTGTGTAACCTTTAGGAGGCGAAGTGCAAGGTCAGGTAAAATTACTACCCCCTCTAGCATTACTACAGTATTGTAAAAAAATACCTTGTTCTACACCTGCCCAAGGAGTTTGGGCTAAGGGATTATAATCGTTCAAAGGTGGCTGGTTGACGTAGTATCCCCCAGAGGAATAGTCTGCATGGAGCGAGACTGGCTGATGGTCAGCATCGTAGGCATTGATGGTCAAGTCGTGATTGCTTCGATACCTCTGGCTCTAGAACAGACACAGGAGGACATGTAGGAGTCAAGGAAACAGCAGCAGCACAGGGGCCTGGCAAAACAGGAGCATCATCAGTCTAGATGCTGTATTGAACCTCAAGGCCAGAAGACCCCCCGATTTGGCAGCTGGATCACACTTCACAGCCTTCAGATGGAATGCAAGAAAAAGATCCTCCTGCTCATCAGTTATCTGCCATGTAAACTGTCTTAATGGTATTTGGCAACCAGATCAGCCTCCTGCAAGGCTCCAGAGCAACACACAGGGGGCAACACAGATGCTGTTATTTGCAAACAGCTCTTGACTTCCAGTGCTGTTTAGAAGATACTCTTTTATCAAAGAACACTCCACAATGTCACAGACAGACTGGGAGGCCTCATTCCTATCCCGCTAACTGAAACCAAAACATTCCAGCATATAAAACTCTTTCTCTGGCAGGGAATTCCCAAGTTTAATCGAACACATTTAGAAGAAACCAGGCTGGTGTGGACAGCTTCTGATCAAGAATTGGACTAGATATATTCGATCACAGATAACTCAAGAAAACAGGGGAATACTTTAATTTCCAAGGGTCCAAATTCAAAGACTTCAAGGAAACCTCTGAACCGCAAAAGCAAGCTCAGGTGAAGCTGCTTAAAGAGATTCTCCTCATGGTGATAAGCAATTGGGACATTTGACGCCAATAGAAGCATGAACCCACAATGATTTGGAGGAGAAAAAAATGCCCCAGCTAGACACAGCAGACACCGTAGGAAGGAGGCCACGTGGAATTTGGACTCGTGGCTCCTCAGCACTTCCAAGGCCTCCTTACTTGCTGAGAACGGGAGCTGAAGCTGCTCTGGCGGCTGCGGAGGCTGTGGGAGCTGTGCAGACTGTGTCCCGAATGCTCACTGTGGACACTGCGCCAGTCACTGTCGTCCCCATACGGGTCCCTGCGCGGCTCCAAGTCTTCATCAAAGCTGCTGACAAAACGAGGGTCGTATCGCCAGTGATCTTCATACCGGTCATGGCTGCAGGGAGGGAGAAAGGACCCAGCAACACAAGAGTTACTTCGCACATCGGTAAAGCGTCTAGCAGCAGTTACCCAAACAATTGACATTGTAGGGGGAGAACCATGTTAGTTTGCACAAGAGAATGAAGGGATACGAGTTTGACATCAAGTCTCAAAACAAGGGCATTTCAGGCTCCCAGGGCCCTCCGTGGCAGACCTCACTGCGAGCACTTCCTTGGATTAACTGTTTCCAGTCCAAACACCCAGGAGGGAAGTCTGGCAGGCTGTAAAGTAGGGCTTGTGCCCCACAAAGTCCAGCAATTAAAACAGTATCAAAGCTTAATTTTACACTGCCTCTGTGAAGGACTCGGAAGTGCTAAGGAGCCACGAGTCCAAATTCCATGTGGCCTCCTTCCTATGGTCCCTGCTGTGCTTAGCTGGGGCCTTTTTTACACTGCCCCATGTCCTCAGTGCAAAGGGTTCACACTGTGTGCTTTGCTCTGCTCAAGCACAGTGCCCAAAATGTGGTCCAGAATTTCTTTGGGGTCAACTGGGCCTGTCAACAAATGTCTCCATCCCCGAATCAGTTTGGAGCCCAGAGGTACCAAATAACCACAAACCTGTTTCCTTGTGGATAGGGTTCTTTCTTTGTGTAAAGGCTGGGATCCGTGTTGTACCAATACCTCTGGTCATACAGCCGAGGATCTCGGAACTTGGCATCATAGGTTGATGGGTAACGATCTTAAACGGAAGAGTGGGACAATCGGTCATTGTAGAGGCTCTGCATCCTTACCAAAGCAGCATCCGCCACTCGCCAGCCATCCTACTGTACAGTGTAGCAGGGTGATAAGCCTTGGTTTCACTACAGTTGGCTCAACAAACCATCTTTGGCTAGTGTTTCATATAGCAGATGGGGATTCCAATGTGGTACTCAGGTCCTTTCCCCACCTCCCCCAACAGACCTTTAAAACATTTGTTGAATTAAAACACAGGGAAGGTTATATTCTGCAAAGCAAAGCACCAGCTGCCAACTTTAGGCTGAACGTGTTTTCAAATTCCAAATGTGCCCATCAGCCCCAAAAGGTTTATACACCACATAATTCACATACAGATAGTCCTCACTTAACAAACATTCGTTTAGCGACCATTCAAAGTTACAACGGTGCCGAACAAAGGGACTTACAACTGGTCCTTGCACTTACAACCATCGTAGCAGCCCCGCAATCACGAAATTGCAATCCGGGCGCTTGGCAACCAGCTTGCACTTACGACACGTCCCTGGGTCACGTGATCGCTATTTACGACCTTCCCAGCTGCCTTCTGGCAAGCAAAATCAATGGGGAACCACGTGATTTGCTTAATGACTGTGTGATTCACTTAGCAGCCACAGTGATTCACCTACTGACCACTGCAAAAAAGGTCGTAAAATCAGGTGCAACTTGCTTAACAACCACCCCACTTAGCAACAAATTTTCCGGTCCCTATTGGGGTCATTAAGTGAGGACTACCTGTATTATGCTAAGCAAACCCAACCAAACCACCTTGTAACTTTGTGAATCCAGCCCATGTGTGAGAAAGCTGTAGATCCAAGAGATCATTTTGGCTACGCAGAGAGTAATATCTGAAGACTGACAAGGTCAGCGTTAACAGATAGATCTTGCACTCCTAGAGATAGTCTCCGTTTCTTTAGCTGAAAAACTGCACATTTCAGGTGAACTGATTTTTATCATGTTTTAACTGGACAGTCACATTCGCCATCTTGACTTCCCCTATGGATGACTGGGGTGCGAAGCCTTAGTAAAGATGTCAGGCTCAGTTGTTCCCCTGTGGCATGGAGAAGTGTCACTCTGGATCTATGGGGTTCAGAGTCCTGTCTTCTGGGAGCGGAGGGGAACATGTTATCCTCAAGTCATCCTGCTGAACTACAACTCCCAGAAACCTTGACATAACCGGAGATGCTTGGTGTCCTTAACTGAGCAAGATTTAGTCACAGGTTCCTCAAACCATCTTACTGCTTTACAATATGGCTGCTTCAAAAGCCTGCAGCTAGCCTGTATCTCCTCTCAGTTAGCAGGATTTAAATCAGGATGGCCAAGAGTGAACTGGCATCTTTTTATCTGCAAACACATGCTGTCTCTGTCCCTGAAATGGCTTGCTCAATCTTTTAATGTCTTTAAATAGCCTTTAAGGAGATGAGAGAAAGAGAAAATATCATGCTACTTCTACCATGGGAGTTTCATATATTAAAATTGGCATATTTTGTTGGAGGAGCGTAACCCCTACCTCCATTATCATATGGATTTCTGTAATAGTCTCCATAGTAGCCATTCCATCCACTCTTGGTAGTGTAATAGTCATCGGGATAACTTTGTCTGGAGGGGGAGGCGGGAAACAAGACAACAGATTAAGATTTAAATTCTGAAGTCATAAAGCCAGCAACACAAACAGATGTTTAGCACCACTGAAAAGTACAGTGGGGCTTCTTACAGCTGAAACGCATCAACTAGTTGTTTCTTGAAAAATGCCAGACTCCCCCAACCCCAATTCTGTTATTTTCTTCCCAGAGATCAGGAACTTTGCATGAGCCGTGTATAAATATCAACTCATAGAGAGCCAATGCAATGTAATTTAGGGTGCCTGACAAAGAACTAGGGACCTTCTGTTCAGATCCTACAGACACCCCTGGAGAAAAGGCAGGATATAAATGCGATCAATTAAATATAGACTCAATACATTTCTAGATCTCATGCTTGCTAGGGCTAACCTTTAGGTAACTTGTAACCAAAATTTCAGCACGAAGGAGAAAGACCAGCCTATTTAGAATCCAGCCCTTTCTATAGTCTTGTAAAGCAGCGTTCCTCAACCTCGGCCGTTTGAAGAAGTGTTGTGGTCCACACCCCCCCCCTCCTCCCCCACCTCTCCGCAGCAGACGTGTGGGTGCGGTGTGTCGGTGGAGGCACCCACCATTGCGAGCGAGGGGGGGG